AAGGAAAGCCTTGGTAAGAGTTTATTGATTTGCTGTTTAATGTTTGGCTATAAAAGTCAAATCTTGGTGGGCTGAGAAGGGTGTAAAAAGTTTCTAAGAAGTCTCCCCCTTTAATTGTTGCGCCGAGTTCAAAGTTCGAGCGTGACAAATAAACCAACAATTAACTTGAACACTCATTAAGTCAACTCCCCATCCATCCATCCGTCCATCCATCCTGCCTTCACCCTCGTTTTGTTCTTGAAAATATTTGTGAAATTAACACTTTCATTGTTTCGCATAAGTTTATAGCCTGACGAGCTGGCTCAAATTCTTTGAGACTTTGGAGCCGAGCAGGCAAATTATATCAATTAGTTGGCTGAATATGCTTATTGATTTTGCTGGTCAAGTGACACTTTGGGGAGTTTGAACAGCGTTTTGGGGGTTACCATAAAATTAAAAGAGGGTTCACTGAACCCTAGATTGAACCGAAGAACTGAACTATTTGCTTCTAAAGGAACTCGGTGTCGCTGAACGCTTTATAAGTTGCCAGAAACCAGCGAAGCTGAAATGTCAACAAACCTGTTCTGCGGCCTCATTGCGGTTAGATTAAAGTGGCGGAAGTGCATTGACATTCAATGCCAAGTGAAATACAATTCCCATATTTTATCGAGAGCAAACAGAAGACAGGAAATGGCTCACTGAGAAAAACGAGGCAAGCGTAATTATAATACCATAAAATTTAAGTTAAATAGGGAATAAGTAACTAGTAGTATAAATTAATCATATTAAAATATTTCACTGTATGCAAAAAAATTTAATAGAACTTAGGATTTTCCTTAGTTCCTCAAGTAACCTTGCCTTTTCCATTTCCCGATTTTCTTTCTCTGCATCTGTCACTGGCTATTCTCGCTGGCAACAAATCCTTATAAATCGCTATGACACATCCAACTAACAGGCGACGTGCCAGATAAAACTCTTGTCAAAACTTGTTTTATGGGCTGGGCCCAAGGATTCGAAGGAGGCGCTCGGCAAACGGCAGAAGTCATCAAGGACCTGCGGCCATCGTGGTTGCCTTAATAAAATTGACGTTGGATGTTGGAGCGACAACAGTGGTCAGCAAAGCTGGCCAATGGGCAGATAATGTTGTTAACTCATTTTTAGCCAAGTAAGCGCCGCTCGGTCCCCATGGTCACATTTGAGGCCAGCTCGTTGGCCACTCAAGCACTTGACGGCCTTGTGGGCATTTTGTTTTGTCAACAGAGTGTAATTAAGCCCGGCCACGCGTGTCATCCGCCTGGAATTATGCTTTAATTTGCATTAAAGCTCGGCGAGTGTAATTACACCTCAACTTCGAGCCAGAAAGCAGTTCGCACATATGTTTATTTACTGGCTGGAGGGCTGGGCAAACACTTGAAGCCGGCTACCATAAACAAGCAGCTCAGCTGAGCTCCAGTCCTTGGGTAAATTTATTTTCGCAAGCCGCTTAGTGCTGTAATTTTCCCCACTGCCCAACGCACTCGACAAAGGCAAATTAAATTGCTAAAAAAGCGGGAAAGTGGTAAAAACGCTTTGCGGTAAATGGGGGGAATCACACTTGACGCCCAGTCAGTCAGTTAATGACGCCGCTTTGTGGCCACTAAGTGTTTAACCTTCGAGAATCAGGACCAGGTCTGAAATTGTGAACCCAGACGCAGACAAGGACATGTGTCCCATATTTTACATGCGTCAAGTCTCGCCGTTCGCCGTTCTGCTCCCTGCACATGCTTAATTTTCCTTGGCAAATAAGCTTAAGATACATTTTTACGCTAGATTAATGAGTTCTCGGAATCGACGCGTTTTAGCGAAATAATATTTGCCAAGGCAAAGGAAATTGCGGTGGGTGCGAAAATTTCGCTTGCAGGCAAGCCTTTTACAACATCAGACGGTGTGCATAAAATTAAAGCCTTTAATCAGCGTAAAAGGAAAGTTTTGATATTCAACCGTAAGTTACTTGTTACCTAAATGTCCTATGGCATTTTCATTATTTTTGAAATACTTTGTGTTCTTTGTAAGCATAATTTTATTAGTAAAACTATATAATGACTCATTCTTGCTAAAAGGTTAAATTATCCCAATTATTTGCACCCACTCTTCATTTGAAGGCCAATTCAGCGCTGTTATTATATTGGCAGCTGTTTGACTTCTATCGCCATGCAAACAGGCAGTGTTTTTCTTTTTTCAAATATTTGCTCTGTCACCCTAGAAAATGCCAATTAATTTTGGCCTTTGATGGTCACATTAGCCAGCTCACCAGGGTCACCATTGTTGTAGCTAAATTGTGTAATATTAATATATGCGTTATAACAACCGGCCACATGAGGTCCGGGCTAAAATTAGATGAAGTGGTTCTGGGAAAATCTGGACGAGGACGTGGGTGGATGCCTTGAAGTGGCGGGAGTCTCATTAGAGCATATGTAATTATGGAGTCGTAAGCTGGGACGCGAAGTGTGAAGGATAAGCCAAGGACCCTTCGCAGATGTAATATTTTCCTGCCACGCGTGCGGGTCGCCCTCAATGGCCAAACAAAATGTGCGGCTGCATAATATGCTATCGTTTCCTCCGGCTAACAAACAAACATAAATGGCACCATGTAGTCGATTCAGTGAGGGAAAGTCGGTCGCTTCAAGTCGGAAAATTCGTTCGATTCCGTTTATTTGCGTCGTCTAATGCCCCCAGATCCGCTCTCTCGTTTATTGGACAGCATTGCGCAGTTGGCCATGGTCAACAGTGTGACATTGGCCAACCTCCCAACCTCTCAACCTCCCAACCTGCCAACTCCCAATGCAGTTGTAATTGGCATATCTGTGCCAAGCGGTCTTAGTGTCCGAGCCCTTAACTTTAAGGTGAGACATCAACAAGGATGCCGAATTCAGTTAGCAACTTAAACATGATTTAATAGTGTTAACAGGGGATTTCGTGGCATTTCGAGAATGGAAAAAGCAATCACAATTGTGCCACGGATGACCGCTGGTCAGGCCAAATCCCTAACTAAGCCATTTGAATTGCAAATCATATGAGACCCCTTTTCGCCCGGGGTTCCCGCCACCCACATACACATTCGGCATTAAGGAAAATATTGCCAGTTCAGCGACCTTTTTATGCCAACATTTTGCCAGCGCTTTTATCTCCTTTTTTCGGACGCCTTCTGTGTGACAGATTACCGAAAGCAACTTTCGTTTTGAAGTCTATCAGACCCATGTAAAATATTTTCTATTTATTTTTCATTTACTGAGAGTTGTTAAAAGGTTAAGGGGGTATAACGAGATAGTATCCCAAACTGTTTGTTTTTTCAATTTATATTTCAGGATTCAATTAATTATAATGTATTTCGTCAGTGTTGTGATGGATTAAAAAAATATATAAGAGCAGTAAATAAATTTTGTGACTCCATTAAAAAGTTATTTACTAAAAACTAAAACCGAGTATAAAGTTTTAGTGTTCATAAATGTGCCTGCTGGCAGCTCAATACGTAATCAAATGTGTTTTGACAAGCTAGAGAAAACGGGAATATAATATTTTTATTGCCAGACCCAACTATGCAAACAACAAATCAATAAGACTTAGCCGGGCTGAGATTATTGTTACATCGCCATCTCTTGACACGGCTCTTTGTCAACCGAAATGCCATATGGTGTTGGGGTTGCAGAATCCCTGCCTGCGTTCTTGTCTCCGCTTTCTGTGGTCCTGGAAAGGACTCATTTAAATAAGCCCGAATTTATGGCACGCACATACGCACGAAACACTCTTTGAGTGATTGGCGCGTTTAAACTTGGCTCACAGGCTGCTTGGCTGATGTTCTCCGGTTCTCTGGCTGGAAATTGGCTCGGTCGAGGGCTACTTCCGTTCCAACAATGGTGTGATTTATACGATGGGCCGAATGGAAATTTCATTACATTCATGGCGTGCTTTTTATGGCAGCCTGAGGAACGAGAGAGAAACGAACGAACGGAAGTTTAGTTTAATCGAAGTTGTTGTCACGATCTGCGGGGCCGCCTGATTGATTGCCCCTCATTGATAAGGAATGTCTTCACCCATCCTCCGAAAATATGCAAATCATTTACCCCTGGGCGAAGACTTTTGCCTCCTCTCGGATTTTCTTAATTTCCAGCTACCAAATGATATTTGGCGTTTTATTGTTTGTCGCTGATGCTTGACTGGTTTGCCAGCTTGAAATGAAGTTTGCTCAGTTCGTTGCTTTTGCCTTGCGAAAAGGGAAAAATTGTCGCAAATTGAAAATTGTACCGTCTAACAACAAGCAAGCGCCGGCAGCTGTGACTTTGTGACCCTTTCCTCGCAGTTATCCATTGTTTGATTTCGGCAAAGAACTACAGCAAGTGTTCTGTTGTTGCTTCTTCCCAAGAGGTAGATCTTAACTTAGAGAAAAATTTAATCAATAGAAAAAAATGTCAGCATTTTTTAGACAAAACAAAACCCACTGAAATCCTATATAATAAGAAGTTTTTTTTTTTAGTTTTTTGTTTTATTTTTCAACAAGGAGATACAAAGTTAAAATGCTCTATCGTTTTTTTTTGCAGTGAGTCGGTTAAAATTGAGTTCTACCTGCGCAGCTGTGTCTTTCAAACACAATAAATAAATTTAATAAATGGCCAATATTCTTCTTGTTTTTCGCACCTACCTCAAAAAGTATATCGAATCGAAATTGTTTATTTATAGTTGCATAGGAAGTAAACTACCTCAAAGTGTGAAAATATACATTTCCTAGAAAAGTTGCAGAGTTTCTAAGAACACAATCCGTTTGTTGTAAGGAAAATTTCTTGAATATTTTACAGGGTGGAACAACAGCCAGGGTTGAATTCAAATTCATAAATCACATGTGAATAAGAAATGTTCTACAAATTGCCACTTATTGTGGCACTGTTCAAATGTTGGAAATCGCAGGCTACAGCTGCGTCTTTCGATTTCAATAAATAAATTAGTTGGCATACGAGTATTATCTGTGTTTGTCTGTTGCCGGCACCCACCTCATAAAAGTAGAACGAGTTTAAATTGTCAAACTCGCCGGGGTCGCCGGATGGCGATGTGGAGTTGCCGCCCGCCTCTAAGTCGTGACTTGGCGCCGCTGTCGTCTGGACCATTGTGGCCGAGGCGGTTGTTGTTGTTGCCAGCGTTGTTGGCGCCAGCATCACGTGTGATATCGCAGGTGTGAAATATGTCAGATTAACTGCCGCCACGTAGCTGGGCGGCCAGGTACCGCCCACCGCCGCCTGGGTGCCATTGAACGTCCTTTCCGTCGTGGATGAGGTGGCCACGCCCACCGCCGACGATTCGGAGGAGGCGGAGGCGAGCGTGTAGTAGAGCGAGCTATCGAATAGCCTTAAGTGTAGCATGATTGCGCCTCAGTCTGCCATTATCCTGGAATGGGTAAATTAACAGCGAAAATTAAAAGAGTGCTTAAAAGTATATATCTTGAAATATATGACCTGGGCCCGCAGGCCCTGTGCGAATGCTTAAAAACCCATAAATCCCGAATGAAAAGCTGCGTAATAAATGCTTTAAGCACTTTCTCCGCCAGAATGCAGAAATACTTGCTTCAGTTAACATGGCTTTTGTGTGTAAATTTCGGTACGCAGCAGGTGCGGGATTGTTGGCCTGTTATTAATATCGCGCATACGCCGGGGGTGACATGCGCTTGTACGCTTCTTAATGGCTGGCATTCTGATTCCTTCGAAATTAGTTATGGTTATTGTACTACTTTTATTGTCACCCCTTAGATAAGCAAACACTCGTGAGCACTCCATTAGGAAAATAATAATTATTTAATTAAATACAATTACTTTTAAATAAATTCAAATTATACTATGTATTAAATTGTGTTTCCTTTAATTTAACTGAAAGCCTTTATCTGTATTCAGTGACTCGGAATAATTTATGACGCCAGCGGGAGCTGTACGTGTTCCTTATTGAATGGGGGAACCAAGGACACGATTTGACCCTTTGGACAGGAACTCGAACAATTAGCACCCAACAATAGACATTTAAGCCACAAGTGGAAGTGTCACGTCGACGTTGGCAAACAAAGGAGCTGCTGAACTTTGATGTGGCCCTCGGAAATTTATGCATGCATATGTGCCCCAGACTGGGATCCATCTCCCCACCTGTCCAGATTTCAACGAACTCTTGGCTGCAACTTTAAATTGATTAGCCGCAACTTTGTGGGAGGCCCTCGAACGACGTGCCCGAAATTCGCAAATAAATTCTCCTGTAAAATGCGAAAAACTTTTGTTCGACCCAGCCAGGTATTTGGCCCACTAATGCGAGCACGCAACTATTTGGCCAATGATTTATATTAAAAACACCCGTCTGAGTCGCATGTTTTCTCTTCTGACACATTCAATTTGGTCGAACGCAGCTGCTCAGCGGGATAGTTGCCACATTCTAGGTGAAAGAGGGGGGAAGAGGGAGGAAAAGTGGGAGGGGGTTGAAAAGTGAGAGGAGTAGGAGGATGAGCGGCACCACATGTCGTCGCTTCGGCTTTTTGTAAATTTATCATTAGCGTCAGAGCGTGTTGTAATTTTTCAACTCATTTCTCTTGGGTGTTGATGCCCGAACAAATTTGCACAATTAAGTATGATATTAAAGTTCTCACATCAAATTTGAAAAGAAATTAAGGTTCGACATTTAATAGTGGGAATCTATTTTAAAAGCTCAAACAGCCTATCTACTACTTCTTCCCTTCTTGTTTCTCGCAAAAATACCTTACTTGCTTGTAACAACAATTATGAATTTGAGCGACTGGAAAAATTGATTCTTTGAAAACCCGTTGATGGCCAGCGGAAAGCCCCTAAGCTCCGTCTTTTGTGTTCAATATTTACATATGCAAATAGCTCAAGGAGCTTTGAAGTATTTCGACTAGCGAAGCAACTCATTTCAGCTTTGCATAAGTTCGCCTTGGCTTTAAAGTTTTTTGGCCGCTGTTAATGCGCATTTAATTTGCATGCAAAATAACCAGGGAATTGTCTAGTCAGTAGGACACCTCACTCTAGTCCTAAATCTGAATTATTCGCATTATGTTTGCCTTAACCTTGGCGAAGAGGTAGAGAGCAGTAGCCGAGTTTGATTGACATATTTTGAGTAAGCTGTCAGTTGAGCCAACACTTTTCTTGGCGCCAGAGTCGACTTAAAATACTGCCACTGGCATCTTTTGTCGGAATTGGCGCTAAAGCCGTCGAGCTGCATTCAATTTGATTGTTAAAGTCAGAGAAGCGTTCAAGAGGATTGCGATATAACGACATCGAGTTGATCAACAACGAAGCCGTATTAAGAGTTACTAAGAAAAGTGAGCAGCTGAAAAGGGCCACTCACTTTTTTATTAACGATTTATTTGGCAATGTATTTATGGGATTTAAGCGAAGAAATATTTTTACATCATTATACAACAAAAAAATTATTCGATAAGAACCGATTATGCTTTCTAACTACAAGCAAAAGTGTTTTTCCTCTAAAGGTCACACTATTTTCTAATTTCATTCATAGGAAAAGCGACTTTTGCCTTTTTATTTCTCGACTTTTCATACTGGATAATAATGATGGACTTGCCTTTATGTAAGAAGTGCCACACCAGGCATCTCTTTCCTGCCCAACTGTTCAGCAAAGGACCTGTTGTAACCTTAAGGTATTACAAACGGAAGCCCGTCTTTCGACCAAGAGCCCAGGAACCGAATTCTGTTCCGGACAACAGCGAAAGAGTCACTATCGAGGAAACCCGTGACAAGCTGATGCGCATTTTACGCCGCTTCGACAAGGTGGACACCATAATCGAGGAGTCCCGCAGGAGGATTAATCCCTTTCAACCCGTTGTTGAAGTACCGGTTTCCTACGAGGATATCGAGATCAACATGCGGGAGGGCATCGTTGGATGGTCAGACTACGAATGCGAGGACAGCGATGATTTCCTGGATCTCTAAAAACGATGTGGAAGCTCCAAATCAAGAAAAACTATATGTATTTCGTGCTTAAAGCCCAAAAAACCCCAAAATGACAGCTTGTTTAATGAATAAGTAAAATGTCTTAATATTAAGCCTTAAACGTTGCAGCTCGGGTTGTTTATTCAGATTTGGATTCTTTGGTTAAGTGCTATCTCTGTCTGTCGAATCTCGGTTGCCAAGTTGGCAAAGTACTTTCTTTTGTTTGCTGCATTTCGTTTTGGCCAACTCTGTGCAACGTTGCGTATGAGTCATAAAAGTCAAAAGCATCTGGCTTTTGTTCTTCCCAAGCCACTTCCAGCATATTTATGTTATGTTGTCGTGCAGTTTTGGACGGAATTATATAAGCCATTATACTGTCTGCTCCGGAGTCACTTTCTATGTCCTCTACGACAATTGGCGAGCATATATTGTCCCAGGAGGAAGGGAAAATGGCGTCGTCATGCTGCCTCAAAATGAAAAATTGATTTCACAGCGAAAAATATGACAGCGACAAGCGGCGAGCGGCACAAACTTTATGAGGTCACTTCGTTCTGGCCAGTAAAACAAGGTCCACCCCAAGTCTACATTTTTCCGCCTTATGTTTATGGCTTGGACAGTGCACGCGGTGCCATTCCCCGTATGCACTTGCAGTTCATGGCAATCAGCGTCATAACGACCGAAGTTTAGTATTTCATTTCAGTTTTATGAAGCGTAACGCGTGCACAATGGATAATTGCCAGTGGGATTGATTTGAAGAAATAGAGGGGATTATTTTCATTATGCTTGCGCGCTTGTTTCTCGTTCGATACTTTGATTACACTAAGAGCAGACTAATTGACAATTTAAAAAATCATTGTCGGATCGCTCAGACGGTGAAAATCCACTTAAAACGCCCTAGTCTTTTAAGTAGCCACTAAATTTAAATCTAAATGACAGACATAGTCGCACGTCGTGCTGGAAAACAGACCCCAAAACACACGCAAATTCGCAAATGGTAGATGAAACTGGATATCAAGGCTCGTTCGGTTGCCTCGAAATATATTTTCTACCCGTGTTTCGTTTTGTTTTCCCAAAATCGTAAATAGTCGGGGCGGGCAAATTGAAAAGTTGCAGCCAGCGAGGAAGTGGGAAACGGTGAGTGTGTGTCTACAACTTTTGCGGCCCTTTGGAATGGTCCCCGATGGCCAAAAACGCCGACTCGTCTTTTCAACGTACTCGGTTGCCAAGGCACTGTGGCCAAAACTCTTGACGAAAATCTAATGAAGCGCCTAAAGGGTTTCTATTTTATTAAAAACTTTCTTTAAGAACTGAAGCTTTGTTAACAACACGTTGTCTCAATGCAGACAGTGCATCTTTTTTCAAAGCCTCTTTGAAATTATATTGTAAAATTTTTATAAATACAATCATTATGTTGAGTAAAAATGCAGTGCTCTTGTAATTTTTTAAAAATATCTAAAAATCTTTCTGAACAATAATATTCCCTGCAAATATTATCAAATTAATTTGCTCCTTCAAAGTATAACTTCTTGATTAAATAAAATGCAATCACACTTAAGGCCATTTAATTCTGTTTCATCTTTAAGGCTTAAAGAACTCACCACAGTGCCAACTCTTGGCAGCGACGCCATTGAATGGCATTTTATTTTATTATTGCACACAGCATGCTCGCTGGCTGCTTGTGTATTTATATTCAAATTTGTAGCACCTGTAAAACAGTTTGCAAAACAATGAAGACGCCGCCAGACGACTGTGAGGGAATGTCAGCTGCTGCCCCATCAACCTTTTACCCACCCCGCAAGCCATCCGTTTGGCCAAAAGTTAGACAAATATATGTAAATGGAAAATGTGCTGGGCGAAATTGCGTCAAAACATTTGCCACACGAGATTAAGTTGGCCGGGTCCATGATATGTTTAAAGTTTGACTTTCTTATCGGCCAGCCTGGGCGCAGACGTTATGAATGAAACTGGAGGGAAGGACTGACTGACTTGACGGGCGCGTGCTAAGCCAAAGTCTAAAGCCATAGACATGCGTTTGTTTTCTCTCGACAATCAGACAAAAGAAGGACTAAAAGAATTGCGTATACGACGTGTTGCCTTGACACCTGGCGTGGGCAGCTGGGCTCCGCCAGGCATTTGGCTGCCTTCTACATTTGAGCCGACACGAGAGGCAAAACAATACCCATTTATTATGAGTTTATACAATAATTTATAAATACTTTTTACCCCGTCTATCGTCTATCTGTCTGTCTGTCAAGTTTTCCAAATGTGCGAACACACTTAGGCGTTTGATTGATATTTGGCAACAAAACCTGAATGACAAGGCCCTGAAAGCCGATATCTACATTATGTGTTGGCGTGTCTGCTCTTCCGAGCTCTTTCCTTTCTTTATTTTTGGACCAGCAAAAGGTGTGAATAAATCGGTTGAATTAATTAATTCGAATGAAATAAATACCGAGCGTCGAGTGGGGGATGGTTAAGTCTATTAAGTCAATTATAAATAAATTATTCTCCTGCCCCAGAAACCTGCTGATACCTGCGAAAAGTAATCGCCAAGGTGGCTGGAGGGCGTTAATTAGCCAAGAGTGGGAAAAATGGGGAAGAAACCCCAGAATTCTGCAGGGAAATTATTATTATTTATGCGTATTCAAGGTATCCACTGCAAGTAATTGTTTCTCCCGGCGAATGAGTTGTGGGGCCGTAATAATAAATTTCCATTTCGAGCGGCCCCCAGCATTCCAAGGGACTCACCTCAACGCATTCGGTGTTAGCAAATATTCAACAGTTAAATCACTTAGCTGATGGGTTCTACTAGTTGGCTAATGAAAACCAAATGCCACGAACGCTTAACCACAGCCTTCCCCATCTGCACCCCTGTCTTTATCCTCATCAGCCGTATATATAGTACGTCAAGAGTGAGCTATGTGCTCTGTGTGTATAAATTATGCAGGGCACATACATTGCTAACTGTTGAGAGAGCAACGCGTTCTGCGCTAAGCAGAATTTTGAACTTGACTTAATTAGACGCAAATGCAGAAAATAGAAAACGCCACAACCGCAACTCCCCAGCGAGTTCGAAAACGGTGGCAGTGATGCTCTGTCTGGGTTGAAATCGCTTTCAATGACAAATAGTATAACTGATTTCAGTTTTTTATTATCTAAAATAATAAGCAATCTTGGAAATGGCTGCAAATTTAAGTGGAAATGAGTTTATATGTCGATAGAAAAGATAATCTATAAGTAGAAAGCAAATTTCGGTAAAGGAAAAGGAAAATTCAAATATAAAAGCCCCATTTTTATGACCGCTTTAAGATTATTTAAAAGATTATCTATAAAATACTTTTAAGACCTCCGCCCACAAAACACTTACACACTTAGACTCGAAGACGGCCTCTTAAATTCTATATACAAATAACGCCGGCGGGAAAAAATGCAAATTCAAGTTTATAGTTTTCCCATCAAGGATCACGCCCATTCTGGCCACTCCTCCAAAGCAAAGGACTTTACTGCCGAGGAGTCCATAGAAAAGAGCCAAGTAAGCAGCTCCTTTGAGCAAGTTCTACGGCTTGACTGTGAGTTTTCCGAGGAAAGCGCGTGTCATGGGAGCTCCAAGTTCGGATGCTTCGATGCCTGGATGCCTATTGCCCCCAAAGGCCGTCGCTCGTTAATTAATCAAAATACTGCTGGAGCTGCTGACAGCAGATCCCCACTCCTCGCCTCGACTGATTTTGGCCTGGTCAACGAACCTGCCGCTGGAAATCTGTCGCTTCGTGCGTATGGCCAAGCAATTAAAGTCACGCGCGAGTATTTAATTAAAAGCTGAATAATGCAGCCAGTGCTGCGGCCAGGAAGTGTCCAAAAGTCAGGGAGCAGCGGCTTTTGGAAAGCAATTACGAGTAAATAAAACTTGCAACCAAACAAATTGAAAATTTTGCAAAGGGAAATCAAAGTGGGCACCGGGCCAGATGAGCAAATAAGTCAGCAGCAGACAAGTCAACGGGCGGGCCAAGTCTATTTGTCGGCCAACGCGGAGAGATTCGACACCTACAACATCGATTTCAATCAGCTGCCACACGTGGGCCACCGGGCAGCTCCCTGTAATTATTGGGGCGCCCCGAGGTGCGGTGCGCGGCACAAAACACGCATTTTAATTTGACAGAACCAATGAACTTGGAAATCAGAAGTCGCCAGAAATTTAAAGACAACTTAGCGCGTCTTTTTTTGACAGCACAGAGAAAAAAGTTGATTGGATGACAAACTTTTTTGTGTGAATAAATTCGTTTTAAATCAAATTTTGTATTTCCCTTATTGTTTTCTTTAATACTTATTCTTATGTATCTAATTAAAATGCTTTACTTCTTTTGCAAATGACAAAATAACTTGTTGGTAATTTAGCAAAGTCCAGAAATTAATTAAGACATTTTCCACGCTTTTCTGCACAGTGTGAGTTTTGTTTTCGTTGGGGATTTCTGAAAATGCTGTCAATCACGAGAAGGCGGTGCGATGATTCGGCGTTTGGCGGATGGCGGCTGGCGGGCAGGTCGCAGACATATCACAAATCGCTCGAGTGTAAAATAATTTGTCTCGATTCCCTTCTGCCTGAATAAAATCAATAAACGCCGCCCCCGCAGGCCGCCGCCAATCGGCGTTCGGCAAGATGCTGCAAATGCCATTTTCGGCAATCACCGAAAATAAGTCCTGGGCTCTCTCATTAGAGCAAGCACCTGGCTGTGTCAGGTGAGTGGAGCAACTCAGCACCTGAGAACCCCCCGCCACTTTTAACACCTCCACCCAAAATGCCGCATAATTGCGACGACTTCTAGCCATCGAAAATCCAAGGAATCGCACTTCTAATGCCTGGCACGTACGCGCCGACGACTGCAAATGCTGCTTACTCCTTTCATGTGGGCTCAGCCCTTCGTCCTGTCCCCTTTTTACCCCTCCCCCTCTCACCTGGTATTTACATGAGGCCAGGTGTCTCACCTTTGATTGCAGCACTTTGTCCGCACACACAATCCACCAGATGTAAATACAATTGGGCGACAACGTGCACGACTCTTGCGTTGTTTGTTTTAAGTACCTCTCGAATATGTCAACTTGTAAAATCTCAAAAAGATA